CAACATAATGATCCACCCTGAGGTGCTTCACAGTGATGTTATAAAACAAAGGGTATGATATTGAGCCATATAAGGACATTGTTAGATCAGGAGACCAAAACTGAGGTCAAAGAGGTAAGTTTTGAGATGTTTCTGAAACGTGAGAGACAGAGAGCTAATTGAGGGGTTATTCTGGATGTTAGAGCCTATAGGAGCTGAGGGCAGGGCCACCAGTGATGGAGCAATGAGAACAGGAGTATGCTATTCAGCCCCTTGAGCCTGTTCCACCTTTCAATGAGTTGGTCTGTGGCCGAAGTCCATATACCAGCCTTTGGCCCATATCCCTTAATACCTGTGCTTAACAAAAATGTATTTATCTCAGATCTAAAATTAACAACTGATCCAGCATCCACCGCCATTTGTGGAAGAGAGTTCCAAACCTCTCCCACCCTTTGTGTATATAAGTGCTTCCTGACATCTCTCCTGAACTGTCTGGCCCTAATTCTCAGACTTGGCCCCTAGTTGTAGAATCCCCAACCTGTGGAAATAGATTATCTAAGGGCTGCTCACATTTGAAAGACACCAAATGGCTGACAAAAGTTAAATAGAAATGAACAGCCTGCTCCAGCATTTGAGTGAAACATTATGGTACCTTTGAACAGGGTTACTCCATGGTGAATGGGAGGCCCACCAAGCAACCATCCAAGACAGTTTGATAAGAGGATGCCTAAGTATAGACACAACTTCATTAAAATACAACAAGTAATTGATTCCAGCCTCATTAATGAAAGGATGTTGTCCCATTAGGTGAACAGCACCAGTTAGAGCAAGGGGTGTAAATCTCAATCTGTGAGACAGTCAGCCTAACTCATTAAGCAGCTATGAAAACAACAGCTAAATAAAAACCAAAAGAACTGTGCATGCTATAAAGCAGGAACAAAAACAAAATTTGCTGGAAAAGCTCAGCCCAAAACGTGAACTGGTTTTTCCTTCACAGATGCTGCCAGACCTGCCGAACTTTTCCAGCAAATTTGTTTTTGTTGTTGTTAAAACAACAGTTTTTTGTAGTAATCAGCTGTTTCTTTGAAGTTATTCACAATGTTAAGAAATAGGTTCTTGTTAAAGATTCTTCAGATAATCATAAAGATAGATTTCAACATAATTATAGATACACATATATCATGAAAATATAGTAGAAGTATGGGGGAAAAACATTTAAACATAGATGTGAAAGTTAATTAGTCTCAGGAAACGCTTTCCTTATCTTCAAAAAGATGCCTGGCAGGTCCTGAACGAAATAGATTGTTTACAATTTATTAGTTTAAAAAGTATAACTAACTTTATAATGGAAAATTAATGCTATGAATCTTATTAAAACCAACTGTCTTTTGTATTTTTTATATGTATAATTGGGACAGTGGAAAATATAAGAGGAATAACAGAATTTGATAGAGATAGCAGATGGAATACAATGAATAACAGAATTCAAGCAGTCCTTAGAAATAGGCAAGTCTGGCAAAGGAGTATAACCAGTAGCTTTGGAATGTGAATTAATAAGATGCATAGAAAGCTCCCAACGCCTAGGCATTACAATGTCTGTTAAACACCATGAGATTGTGGAAACCTGGGGCTATCCATACGAATGCCCATCATTGATTAGGTGTTTCACAGGATTGGGTGTATGGAAGAACACAGTGACCATACTGTATGTGATTATTGTAACACAAAATGCAGTAAAATGCTGTATTTCTCTGTAAAAAATCAGTGTGTCATTGATCTATCTCCCAATCTGAGCCATAGATTAAGAGAATGACTGGGTTCTCACATCGGGTCATTCAGTATATTCAAGGCTGAGAGAGAGATTTTTAATTAGGAAGGAAATCACAGGTTATGGGGATAAGACAGGAAAGTGGAGTTGAGAGATTTACCAGGATGTTGCCGGGTAGGGAAAGTTTGAGTCATAAAGAAAGGCTGGATAGGTGGGACTTTATTTCACTGGAGCGTAGGAGGTTGAGAGGAGATCTTACAGAAGTTTATAAAATAATGAGGGCTATAGGTAGAGTTTATGGTAGTTGTATTTTCCCTAGGATGGGGGATTTCAAGACATTTTTAAGGTGAGAGGAGAGAGATTTAAAAAAAGACATGAGGGGCAAATGTTTTACACTGAGGGTGGTTCATGTGTGGGATGAACTTCCTGAGGAACTGGTGGATGTGGATACAATTATAATGTTTAATAGACATTTGGAAAAGTTCATGAATAGGAAAGGTTTGGAGGGATATGGGCCAGGAGCAGGCAGGTGGGGCTAGTTTAGTTTGGGATTATGTTTGGCATGGACTGGTTGGAACGAAGGGTCTGTTTCCGTGCTGTATGATTCTATAATCAGATCAGCAATGACCTCATTACACGGCGCAGCAGACTCGATGGCCTGAATGGCCTACTTCTGCTCCCAGATCTCACGGTCTAATGGAATGTGAGAGTAAGGTGGAGGCAGATTCAACTGAGGCTTTCAACAGAGCATTAAAGTGTCATTTGAAAAGGAACAACATGTACGGGTTATGGGGAGAAAGCAGGAGGCAAGATGCTCATAGGGAGGGCTGGCTTTAACATGATGGGCCAAACTGCCTTTGTCTACACGATGTGATTCTTCTGTGATTCTGTAAATGGGGTGTAAACGTGTTCCTGTCATGCAATGTTTCAATCTACAGTGACTACACACTCATTTGCAGTAAACTCCACAAGCTTAATATGATTTCTCTGCTTTGCAGTTTCTTTCAAAATGAAACTAAGTGCTTAATTTGTTTTATTCAAATTGTCTTAATTGTGCAATGATGGTTTCAAATTACTGCCGTGTGGAAGCAGGCAATTTAGCCCATCAAGTTCTCACCGACTCTCCCAAGAGCATCCCCACCCTGTGACCATGCATTTCCCATGGCTAACCCATCCAGTCCAGGGCTATGGGCAATTTAGCATAGCCAATCCACTTAACCTGCACATCTTTGTACTGCAGGTGGAAACTGGTGCACTCCTGAGGAAACCCACATAGACACAGGAGAACATGCAAACTCCACACAGACAGTCACCTGAGATTGGAATTTAACCCAGGGCCCTCATACTGTGACGTAGCACTGCTAACCACTGAGCCACCGTTGGGGTGCAGTGGTAGTGTTCTTACCTCTGAACCAAGAGGCCAGGGTTCAAGTGTCACCTGATCCAGAGGTGTGTGATACCATCTCTGAACAGGTTGCTTTGAAAGTACCTGCAATGATAGTGTGATGTTTTCATGTGCATGAAAATCCTGGCCCTCAGACTGTGAAAGAGAGATTTTCCTCCTTTAGCAGAAGCCAAAGTGATCTTTCTGAAATATTTCTTGACTTAATTTAGGTTGTCACTGCTGCTGGTTTAGTCACCCCTAGTTCTCACACGTTGGACGGATGGAAAGACATGAATCATACCTTAATCATGGAACTGTGCTCATCCCCTTGGAATTCACGATGTGCTGAGTAGGTTCATACATTAATAAAGTCTTATTACTTGAATCCATTGTTAACTCCTTTTTAAAAACTCTTTTGGAAAGATTACTGAGGGGACTTCATGGTCGCTGCTGAGAGATTATTTCTTCTTGACAAGTATTCTAGAATTAGAGCCTGCATGATTTCAGAATAAAGAGATTCCCATTGGAGAAGAGGCGGAATTTCCTTTCTTAGACGATCATTAATATTCAGAATTCTCTCCCCCAGCATGCAGCAGGGGCTGGGACATTGAATATATTCCACGCTGAATCAGATTTATAAATTGACGAAGGAGTATGGGTGTTGGACAGGAAAATGACATTAAGACCACAATCAGACAGCCATAATCTTTTGATTACAGAGCTTAACGGGCTGATGGGACTATTTATTCTGTGTTCATAAACTACAAATTGAAATATCATGGAGTGCTTCTCATTGAGTTTGAAGTTGGCACAGAACTGAAGGAGGCAACTTAGCCCAATGAGGCACTACTTGTGTCTCGTCTGATTTATTCATAGAATTTTACAGCATGGAAAGAGTCCATTCACAACTGCGCCAGTTCCTAACCCTATCAAATCCATCTGTTCTAAATAAAAACTGAAAGAAGACCTGCAATTTCTGTTTTTGTTCCATTTATTCTAATGCCATTTTCCAGCACCTTGAAGCGCTCAGCTGAATGAGTGAAATTTAATACATCCTCTCGGGGTGGGGGGGTGAAAACATTTTCCTCACACCATTTTTTTTGCTTCTCCTGCTCCCTACTTTAAAACTATGCCAGTGTACAGGGATGTGTAAGTTAGGTGCATTAGCCATGGGAAATGCAGATTATAGGGTAAGGGAGTGGGTTTGGGTGAAATGCTATTCAGAGGGCTGGGGTGAACTTGATGGGCTGAGTGGCTTGTTTCCACGCCATAGGTGTTCAATGATTCTATGCCCCCTGGTTATTGACCTTTCTACAGAGCAGAAAAGTTTTTCCTTAACCACTTTCTCCATGTGGCCTCTTAATTCTGCACTTCTCTTTGACAAAACCTCCTGGCCCTCTGAGCTCCACCACACTGGGCAAGGAGAGGGGTCACAGTTCTTCTTGCCAGGGGGGAACTGAATTGGGATAGGATTGTGGGTTAAGTAAAACTGGACTGGTTTAACGTCCCTTTTTTTTTAAAGAAAGGAGCTACCAGAAGGGAGGATAGGCAGGATAGTCTACAATCGTTACATTCTTTAATGCAAAACACATGTAGTTTGATATGCAATATTGTTGGAGAGAAGAAAGTGAAAAGGAAGGAAGGAACTGAGGCTACCACTGGTGGCGGGAAAATAGCCAACCCCTTTCGCGCCAAAATAAACTGCTAACACGGAAGTGGTGGGCCCACTTTTTAAAAAAGAAAATCCCGTCAATTTATTTCCAGTCAAGTGATGGAATAATCTGTTTTGGGGGAAAAAAATGATGATTTTTATTTATTATTTGTGGCCGAGGGCCTTCCATCCCAGCATGCCCCGGGGCGCCGTACTATAAAATGGAGGGAGCGGCGTGTGATCGGCCATTTTGTCGCATCCTCTGGAGGTAAGTGAGCGTTTGGTCGGAGGGAAACCTGGATAATCCGCCGCCATCGGACCTCCCGTACCCCGATATTCCCGGCTCTTCCCCTCCTGCCGTATTCGGCTGGCTCCATCTCTCACCGCCCGGTCTTTATTTTCCCCGATGGCGTCTCCCTTCCCTCTCGATGATGAGCACTTTCATTCACAGACCTGTGATGACTCTCCCTGTGATTAGAGCTTGATCTAGTGTTCTGAGACTGAGGGCTGCCGCTTGCAAACCTGGATCCTGTCCCACCACGAGCGAGGGTTAGCTAAATCCCCGCATCTGTAGGGATTTTTCTTTTTTTCTGCCCCATTATTATCATGCTTTCCTCATCTTCCCCGTTACCTTCCCTTTGCAGTATGTTTCCCTAAATATCCCTTTCTTCTCCTATTCCCTTTGCAATTGGCTCTCCTAAATATCCCTTTCCCTCTCCTTTTACCCCTTGCAGCATGCTTCCCTGAATCTCCTCTTCTCCCCCTTCCTACAGTGTCTTTCCTGAGCATGTATTCTCTGCTTTTTTTTTACAACTTTTGCACTGTTTCAGTTTATATTCTGATATAGGAGCTTTATGCACTTTGGAGTATGTTTTGAATTTTATTGCTGACAGTGGTTGATTTGGTGGGATTGTGAGCCCTAACTCTTGCCAGCAATATTATTGTCCTAGAAATAAAAAAGTTAATTGGGGATTCGTACCCAGTTAGTGACTTCTCAAATGAGAAATGAGCCCAACCAGGGTGAGGCTATAAGCAGCATTGTCAGTGTTACGTATTTGATGATTTGGGGGACACTTTGGAAAACTATGCTGATGTAGTATCCCTATATGTTTGTTCACTCTTGTGAATAGCCAAAATCCTCTTCCTGTCAGTTCTGACTGGCCTGCCCCTTACCCCAAAATTGTTCTGAGGCAGACTGGTGCTCAGGTTAATTATTTGTCTTCCTTGTTTTCAGACCAGCTGAACAGGACAAGGGCTGATCCTGAAAGGAATGAGCGAGAGGTGAGTGAGTGAGTGGAGATCCCTGGGGAAACGGGAGTATAGTGCCTTCAGTATTCTGGCTGGGCCTGACTTGAGCTGTGAGCCCAAGTCAGCATGTTTATTAGATTCTGTAATTTAGTACTTGCCATGGCCTTGTTGCCACCAGTTGCAAAGGTGGAAGCCTTTGCAACAGTTTGGGATTCAGTGAACCAGGGGCAGTGTGTGACTAGTGCTACGAAGATGATAACATGAACTCTCTCTTTCTGCATATTCCATGTAGAAGCTTTCCCATTTTGCTGAGTAGCACTGAGGTGCTGCACCATCTGATGCCCAATGAACTGCCCTGGCAGAGCCACTTTTCCTCGGACTTTGTCAATGAAGTTGATTATAATACCCATGTGTGAGCTGTTAAAATGTTGTGGCAGCTGCTACTGGCCCCTTATTTAATTAGCGAACTTATCACAAAGTTGATGGAAATGCTCCTGTTAATGTCACAACCCTGACTTGGGCACCACCAAAGTTTCTAAAAAACTGTTTTTCTTACAGGTTCCGCCTTGACTGTAGTCATGGCAAACCTCAAGGTGAGCATTATGTTGGTGTGCAATGTTAAACTTCTAACTTTGTTCTTTGTTTCTATCTTGTTCTTAAAATTCTGTACCTAGGTGCTTGTACCTAAGATGGTGCCTTGGGTGGTGACATTGTACACTTTTCACAGTACTCGTGTACTGGAGTACACATGATGATAAGAAAAATCAAATCTATATCAGTGTCCTCCACCTCCACTCAGAATTCAGGGCTCAGTTTTAAAACATCACTGATAGCTGATTCAAATGCCCAGATTCTGCAGCTTGCAGGCTGGGTACTTCCAAAGGGCAGATGAGCTGGAGAAGGAGCTGTGCTGCTAAGTACAATGGGAGGGGACCAGTATGGATTCTAACCTTCTGGTTAAGTGAAGAAGGATTTACTTCTACCCTCACCACTGAAGTTAGTGGTGGGATGGGAATGTGCTTGCTGCAGGTACAAGAGGTGGATAGAAAACGTCTGAGTCAGGCATAGTTGATCCACAGCACACGTGCTGTTCTGTGGGAATGTCTTGAGCCTTGCAGGTCATTCAAGTCAGATCTCCCACTTGAATCCTGTTTGGGCTTTAGCCCTGAGAAATTGAGGGTAGCTGCAGAAATTTGCAGGGAGGTGATGTGCTCATGCTGCTGGATAAGTAATTCAGAGACCCAGACTAATGTATTTGGGGGGCATGAGTTCAAATGCTACCATTGTGAATTAATGAGTATTTTGGAATTGAAATCTGGCCTCCTATGTGGCAAAACTAAATCTAACTTATTATAAAATCCCACCTAGACCACTGATCTCCTTTGGCAGGGACAATGTCTTGTGTGTACTGACATGAATCCAGATCCACAGGATTGTGGCTGACTGAAAAGGCCCAGGCACATGCACATTTATAGGAAATTACAGGGTGGTAATAAAGGCTGTCCTTGCCAGTGATCCCCATACCCCATGGAAGAGTAAAGAGAAAGGGGCTGCTGGCCTGAAATAAAGCTTGGGGTCTCACTCCCCCATAATTTAGTAACTTGTGGTGTTCACCCATAGAAAGTTGAGGAGGGTCAGTGTTGATTGTGGCCATAAAACCTGCTGTGTTTCAATGATGATCTAAAACAGACAAGCATATATCTGAATTGAAGTTGATGCCGAACTTGGACTGAGAGCAGCAGTAGGTTCTCTGCTGTCTCTCTCTATTCTGTTGGCTATCTAAGTTAACACTGCTTTTTCTCTTGGCAGATTTGGCACTGCATTGTGACCTTGCAGCATGTACTGAGGATGTCTGTCCTTCAGGTAAGAATAGTTGGGAAGAGGCAGCATTCCAGTTTCCTGGGGCTGCTGTTGTTACAGACTCAGTCATGCCTGTGTATTTTTACTGATGGTTTTGGGAGTTTGAGATACCTGTTCTGTGCGCTCAAACAAGTTGTTACTCCTAGATGACTGCCCTGAGATTTTGACTGACAGGGAGAAAAAGTATTTGTTGAATCTCTACCCATCTCTTGCTGCTGGTCCAAATGGTCTCTTCAAATTTACTCAACCATGCTGCGTGTAGTGGTGAGTTCTGTCAGGGTACACTGGGACCTGTTCAGCATCTGAATGTACTGAGTGCCCTAATCAAAGTGGTCAGTGCTGAATTGGTTTAGGAGTGCAGCACCCAGTTACCTGCAAAGGTAGACTTAAGACACTGGTGTTATGTGCTGATAGCTGAGATCTGGCTGTGGGGCAGCTGCTGGGAGCCTACCTGTTCCAAATGATGTTTTGAAATGAAGTCTCGTTCGTCTGAGAACCTGATGCTGAGCAACAGCCTGGTGGCATTCTGATTGGTGCAGGTACAGAGGAGACTCCAGGCTGCAGTGGGCTGCTACTCTGATTAGTGACTCTCTTACTGCCTCTTATTTGCAGGATGGCTGAGCATAACATGGACTGATGTCAGAAGGAATGAATGCATATGATGGGTGAGTGAGGCTTCTGGGGGTGAGGAAAAACAGCCCTTCCAGGCCCCAAAGGGGTGTGGGTGCTGAGTTCAGACTGGTTGCATTAACAACTGCTGAGCTATTCTGGGAAGGGATGTTGTGACTAATTTTCCATCATGTGATGTGGAATAGCTAATTATCACAAGGTGCTCCAGCCAGGTTTGGTGATCCCGCCATGGTTGAATAGTTTGAAATGCCATGTCAGCTCACATGACTCCAGTAAGGAGTCAACCAGTAGAGGGGTTGGTGAGTTGCATCACTGCACTGCTGAAGTGCACTGGGTCCGTAACCTTCACATGAAATGGTTTAGTTCTGGAGTACGTGTGCCTGCAAATGGTTTGAGAGGATGATAAACAGGCATTGGCCTGTGTGCGGACGACATTGTCGAGTGATGCGCTGAAGTCACCAAAGCCCTGATCAAACCAGCTGGCCTTTCTCAAGGTTTGTTCCCAACATCAGCCTGCAGCTACTTAACTGTGTTCTGTTTCAGGTCCGACTCTGAAGTGTGGGAGTGTATGCCTGGTGAGTGATGTTCTTTTAACTGAAACCTGATCTAGAGCTGCCAGCAATCCTTGCTGTTTTTGCACATTGAAGTCCCAGCCTTGAGCCTGCAGTTTTGGGGTGTTGATAGTGTTCCCCTGTCTTGTGCAGAGAACTTGGTTCTGACTGTAATGTTTATATGGAGAGTCATGTCCAAGCCAACAGTGACCCACTTGGCTGTCCAGTGCAGTTTGAAACTTTTGAAACAGTTAATCAGAGCATGGAAGGCATTTGCTCGGCCCTTGGCCTCTGCTGACTTGGTTCAGCAATTAGTCCCTGACCTGTTTCTAAAAACATACAAATTCAGAGCAGAGGTTGGCTACTTGAGCCTTTCTATCCCATCTTGCTATTCAGGAGGGTGATGGATTGTGATGTCCATCTTACATTTTCACCCACCCTCTGACCTTTGACTTAATTAAACTTTGCTGTCAGTACCTCTTTCAAGTTACTGAATCTGTGTCCATGAGCCTTTCCAGACAGAGTTTAAGTCTGGGCTGAATTTCTGTTCTGCACCCCCAATCCTGTTGGTGTGGGTTTTTGTCCCTGTGATGATAGTCCATGTCTTATGTGCTGTGTAGGGGCAGAACCTGCAAAGGTGAACCCACTGTCTCTCTCAGTATGGAATGAAGATTGCTTGTTTTCCAAACAGTCTGATGGGACAATTTAGCTGCTAATGGGGATGCTGGGTTGGGAGGCAAGGAGAGTGCTTTTTCCAATGCTGTTTGCTTTTTCTTCTAGGTGACTGAAGGTTACTACGTCGACATTCTCTCAAACCAGGTGAGTGGTCTTCCCAGCACAGTGGGCAGTGTCTTCTGTTTTGATAATGAGCTGTGATGGCAGTATTCTTGGGTGCTGTGGCTTGGTCTACATAGTGAGTGTTTCCCAAAGACTGTCTACACATTGTCCTGAAAGATGATGGCCAGCCTGAGCAGTTCCCTGGTGTTGCACTGCTCCTAGCTCCATTTACTACAGCCTGGTGTGTGAGGAGCTTTGTCCTTGTATCTCTTCCATTCTTTCCATTGCCTGTTAAGAGTTTATCCATTGTGGGTGTCACCCCCCCCAAAAAAAACTAGGTCAGTCCAACTGATGCAACCAAGTTCCCAGTGGAATCATCTCTTTCCTTGCAAGTGGGGGCCCCTGAACAAAAGGGGCGATCAGTGTTTCTTGGCTTGAGGCTGCTATCTGGAGGCTCTTCTCAAAAGGTGACGCTGCTCTTTTCTGTAAACAGTCCAGTGATGATTCTTAGCTCACTTTGACCCTGTGTGAAAAGACATTGAACACCCTGAGTGACTCCAGGTGTTGCTTCAAACCTGAGGCTCTACTGGCTTCAGTTCCTAACCATTCTTTTCTCATTCCCTTTCAGCCTGAACTAAGATGGTGGGCCTTGTACTGACCTGGTAAGTGTTTGCAGTTCAAAGGCTTCCTGCATGGAATTTTAAGCTGAGGAAATGCTGTGGTGTGGGGGAGGAGTCCACAAGGCCACTTGCCGCATATTACAGCCACATTTCTAATGCTGTAAGTGACTGAAGCCCTTTCAGAACAGGTGAAGGTCACTGTAGAAACAAGGTCCTTGGGAGCTCTTAATGCTGCAGTCTGATGATCTTAAGTGGAATTTCGTTCGCCTGAACAATTTCTGATGTCACCAACCTATCTGATGCAGTTTAAAATGGCAGGGACTGGACTGTTGTGGGGAGGCACCAGCTGTGTACTGATCTCCTTGTCTCCTTCATTACAGATGTGGCTGACTTCAGGATCCTCTATTTGGAACCAGGTGGGTTTCTGTGTCCTGATCATTCTGATCTGAGAGCTGAACTCTGCCTCCGCCTCTGATTTGCATTTTGGTCCCAGTGCAAGTTAGACTGATCAAACTCCAGTTGTCCACCCTGACTTCTTCCCATTCCTGTGGGACATTGGTGTTAGGCTGTAACTCTAAACCCCTTCCCTGATATCAGTTCTGAATCCAGACTGTTTGAATTTGAAGATGAGTGCTTGCTTTGTTCTGGCTCTTGTGATGACGACATTACCGCCCCAGTCTGATTTTTATCCAATGACTGATTGGTATAGTGTCTGATTGCCATTGAAAAGCTTGCCAGGATGAAGAAAACCACTGTCTACAGTGAGCAACCAGTATTCTGCATGTTTAATGTTCTTGGTACCCTCAAACTGGTGTATGTACCACCAGCATTGAATGAGTTTAAACTATTCAACTAGGTGGCCCCTTTGGCTTGTGATTTTATTCAGTGCTCCCAACTACCTCTATATATCTGCAGGGATGAAGTCTGACACAGCCATGTGGGGTGCTGATGTCTTTCAGGCTAAGATGAACAGCTGCTATTATCTCCCAGTTTGTCAACTGGTTTTGTGATTGCAACCTGACCAGATTTTCCTTGCAGGTTAGCAGGTACAAATCAAGGTGAGATGAGCAGGGGGAAGAAATGGAACTTCTCAACTGCAGGTGCAGCGTGATCATTTTTTTCCACAATGGAGAACAGCAGTCAGGGTTCTGAGTAATTTTAGAATGAGAAGAGTTCTCAATGGTGTACTGTACTGATGTCTTCAATAATGCAGTGCTGTGGTACCCTGTGCCCAGAAGGGCCACTGAAACAATGTTTTTTTTCCTCATCCTGTGTTGAATTTAATGGACTGTAAGGAGCCAGAATCTAAGAATTGAATGCACTCATACATGAAGAGCTCTCTAGGGACAGATATGTTCCAGTGCCAGTAATTTTTGGTGGTGTGAAACTTAAAATGTACCTGTCCTTTTTTGCAGGTGTTGGAGTGAAGAGCACCACTCCCATTACTAGTGTCCATTGGCATGGACCTAAGCATGATCCAGCAGGACACCCTGCTGTGCACAATGTAATGACAGCAAGTGGGGTGGCTGCACAAGGGAATGTTGAGTTAGATTCAGGTGAGTTGAAGTTTAACAATGTGCATTGCTCACTTTAGTCTCGTGTTTGATTTTCCTCAGCAGTGAGGGGCAATATAGTCTCAGCTGGAGTACTAGTTGACTACCATCTCAAAGTGACTTGTTTCAGTCTCCATTTGCAAGTGGTGATGGCTATGGCAGTATAAAAGCAAACCTGCCTGTAGCTGTAATTTGTATTGGGCTGAGATCAAAGGGCCTGTTCCTCAAATACTATGTTGCTTTTCACAGGTGCAGATACAAGGAATTTGATCATCATTGCATAAATACGTTGGTTACCACCTTTGCATGGAATCTATGCTACCTGTTTCGTGCTGCTTCCTGGACCAGAAAGTTGTGAAGTTGTTTTTATGGTCTAATTGAAATAAACTTGTTTTCTGACCCTTCTGTCTATTGTCATGTTTCTGAAGTTACCACCAAATCAATGGATCGGCTGTTTGGGAAGGAGGGTAGGTGGTGGAATAATGATTTCTGAAGGAAGGAGCATAACCCAACTTCTGGGAATTAATTTAAATTTATTCATGTTACATTTATAATACAAAATGTACAAATACAACTCCTGGCTGCTTCCAGCCCAGAGGAATCACACCCCTGTGGCTGCAGGGTAAGTGAGCTGGATGATTTAACATTTGGGTGGATTGGAGATGAAACAATACTGATACTGGCACTTTGCAGCAGTAGCACTGGTTGGGTCTTGCATCTAAAACAGGACAGTGACACTCCTTCACTCCCTCAGAGCCTGATAGCAATAGATGGTCCAATTGCTACTGGTGTGCACAGTAACAGCCCTCTTTGTACACTGGGTCTGTTATTCCTGGATTTTAGAATTCAGATTTGAGGTATGGATCCAGGAGGCTGATTTTTAAGGGACTGTGCAGTTGAGGGTTAAACGATCAGCTATGATCTCGGGAACAGCCAAGCAAACCAGAAGCAGCAATAGCCTATTCATGCTCTTGTGTTTTGTTGTCTAGTACTGCCTTTTGCAGTGACATCCTGTATCAGCTTTGTAGTGTGAATTCCAGTATTCTAGGAACCTTTCCTTCAACAATCTCCCAGCTTGGAAAGAATCCAGCTGAAAAAGCACAGAGGATCTGGCTGAACTAAATCTCAGAACTAATGGTAACCAGGTTTTACTTCATGTGATATGGTGGGGAGGGGATAAGGAGTAAACAATGTGAAGACAGAATAGAGCCCAAAGGGAGAAGACAAAGGTTTGCTAACAGCGTAAGGAGAATGAACAGCTCCTACAATGTGCATAATAGCAGACTGTGATAACACATTGTGGAGCTGGAAGAACACAGCAGCCCAGGCAGCATTAGAGGAGCAGGAAGGTTGATGTTTCTGTGACACCAACTTTTCTGCTGTAATGCTGCCTAGCCTGCTGTGTTTCTCCAGAGCTACACTTATCTCTGAATCCAGCATAAGCAGTTACTATCTCTGATAACAAGGGTTGGGTTGGGTTGAGGATATGCCTCAAAAATTGGAATTCAACTGAACCCAGCAGGTTCTCCTGTGTCCTTAGCCCCACTACCTGACACACAAGGCCTTGTTATCACATGGTTTGCTATTACACAACTCATTGAGTCACTAACAGCCCCCCATTAATAGCTATTTATTTTCCCAGGCTGAACATTATCCACTCCTTTGTTAATTGTTCTCTTTAGGCTCTACCTATTGTTTACTCCCTCTTCCCCCATCTTATGCAAAAAAAAAATCAACTTTTTTCTGGCTACTGTCAGCTCTAAGGGTCACTGGACTGGCAAATGGGACTAGAATAATTTAGGAGATAATAGAAGGGTCCAGACCCAAAACGTCAGCGTTCCTGCTCCTCTGATGCTGCTTGGCCTGCTGTGTTCATCCAGCTCTACACCTTGTTAGAATAATTTAGGATATCTGTTTGGCATGGACAATTGGACTGAAGGGTCTGTTTCTTTGCTGCACAGCTGTGCCTATGGCCCAAAATGTTAACTGACCTCTCCATGTTCTGCCAAACCTCCTGAGCTTTTCTGGCAATTTCTGTTTCTGATTTCCAGCATCTGCAGTTCTTTCGGTATTTATTTTAAAATATCCCAGAATTTGCTTCTCACAACCAACATGTGGACAGGCTAAAATTGTCTTTCAGCTCCCTGCAACAGAGGCAGGATAGCATCAGTGAGAATTACCTCTCATGGAACGAGAGGGGAGTCTGTCCCTTGCTTCTCCAGTGAGTGAAGGCATCCTCTGACCAGTGACGAAGACTAGAGGGATTGATTTCAGCACCGGTAGGGTGAGTCAGGGTATTTTAACTTCAGCTCCTGTTTGAACTGGCGAAAGAGGATCCTGTTGCGTCTGTTCTCCTCGTCTTTCTGCGGGTGGAACTCGCTGGCCAGCTTGAAGCCTTTGTGGATGAGGAAGGCATTGTCCAACACTGCAAAACTGTAGCCAGCGACGTGGAGCTCACAGGCCTGGCCGAGAGAGTGCAAATAAAGCAATGATTTAACTCGAGCCCTCTGTTAGAAGGTCACCGAAATGCCAGGGGAAGAAGATAAAACCAAAACTCCGAGGCAAACCAAATCTCTCTGTTTCTGCCCTACCCCACAGCACAAGCCCATTCCTTCCACCCTGTCCCGATAACCCTGCATTTCCCACAGCCAATCCACCAAGCCTAACATCCCTGGACACGATGGACAATTAAGCATAGCTAATCCACCCTAACCTGCACATCTTTGGACTGTGGGAGGAAACCCACGCAGACACGGGGAGAATGTGCAAACTCCACACAGACAGTCGCCTGAGCGTGGAATCGAACACATGTCCCTGGTGCTATGGGGCAGCGGTGCTAACCACTGAGCCACAGCGCCACTCCAAGACACTCAAATCTTAATGCGTTTGCAGAGAGTTACATATTAAAAATAGATAACTTTGCCATAACCGTACCAGCTGTAGAGCTGCTCTCTCATCAGAGAGAGAGAGCTGGTGATGAGGGGAGAGGTTGGCCCTCCAAGCATATGCCAACACATTTTGCCCTTCCATACTAAAACTGTCTTCACTTACACGATCCGTATCCCACTATTCCCTTCCTATTCATGTATTCATCCAGGTGCTTCTTAAATGCTGCTACTGTGTCTGCTTCCACCCCCTCCTCTGGCAGCACATTCCAGGCACTCATCAGCCTTTGTGTGAAAAACTTGCCTCACGCATCTCTTTTAAACTGCCCCTTGAACCTGTGTCCCCTAGTAACTGACCCCTCCACCCTGGGAAAAAGTCTCATACTTTCCACACTATCCATGCCATTCACAATCTTATAAACTTCTATGAGGTCACCCCTCAAACTCCTGCCTTCCAGTCAGAACAAACCCAGTCTATCCAGCCTTTATTCATAGCTAAAATCCCCCCAAATCAGGCAACATCCTGGGAAATCTTTTCTGTAACCTCTCCAAAGCATCCACGTCCTTCTGGTAATGTGGTGACCAGAACTGTACGCAATATCCCAAATATGGCCTAACTGAAGTTCTATTTCACTTGCCTATTCTTATACTCAATGCCCCTTCCAATGAAGGCAAGCATGCCATATGCCTCAAACAGTACAGGAATTGAACCCATGCCGTTGGCAACATACTGCATTGCAGAGCAGCAGGAACAGGAGACTGAGTTGGATGATCAGCTATTATTATACTGAATGGCACAGCAGGTCCAAAGGGTTGATAGGGGAAAATAGTAGCTCTCCAAGTTTCTGGGAACCTAGGAAAAGGCACAACACTTGAAAACATTCCCTTTGTTTTTCTTTATTCATTCACAGGATGAGGGCGTTGCTGGCTAGGCCAACCATTTATTGCCTAGAGGGCAGTTTAAGAGTCAACCACATTGCTATGGGTCTGGTGTCACATGTAGGCCAGACCCTTCCCTAAAGGACATTAGTGAACCAGATGGGTTTTTCCAACAATCAGCAATGGATTCATGGTCATCATTAGACTCTTATTTCCAGATTTTAATTGAATTCAAATTCCACCATCTGCCGTGGCAGGATTCGAACCCACATCCCAGAGACATTACCTGGCTCTCTGGCTTAACTGTCCAGCGATAAAACCACTAGGCTATTGCTTCCCTTTCGTTTTGCAGAGAATGGATCTGTAACAAGTATGTTGCTTCTACTCAAACAGTATGAGCCACCTTTTGACTGATTATCCTAAATAGCTACTTGGGTAGCAAAAACACCCTCAGAATTGTTCAGCACCATCGCTAACTGTGGAATCACATCCAAGATTCTATTTTTGGGTCTTTGTGGTCATTTCAAATTTGGCATTCTTGCATTTGTCCTGATGAGTGAAGATGGAAAGACTCAGCAACAGCTTTCACTTTTCAGCAAGGTTCAAGTTCTGTTTCACCAAGTCACTGTACAGGACATTGGTTAGGGCCACTTTTGGAATACTGCGTTCAATTCTGTTCTCCCTGCTACAGGAAAGATGTTGTGAAACCTGAAAGGGTTGTTGCCAGGGTTGGAGGGTTTGAGCTATAGGGAGAGGTTGAATAGGCTGGGGCTATTTTCCCCGAGCGTCGGAGGCTTGTAGAGGTTTATAAAATCATGAGGGGCATGGACAGGGTGAAGAGACAAGGTCTTTTCTCCAGGGTGGGGGAGTCCAAAACTAGAGGGACATAGGTTTAAGGTGAGAGGGGAAAGATTTAAAAGGGAACTAAGGGACAACTTTTTCGCACAGAGGGTGGTGCATGTATGGAATGAGCTGCCAGAGGAAGTGGTGGAGGCTGGTACAATTACAACACTTAATGGATGGGTATATGAATAAGAAGGGTTTAGAGGGATATGGGCCAAATGCTGGCAAATGGGACTGGATTAATTTAGGTCTGCCTGAACGAATTGGACCAAAGAGTCTGTTTCCATGCTGTATATCTCTGTGACTCAACATGACACTAATAAATCAAATCAAATCAGTCTCTTCTAATGGCTAATGCACTCCAATCCAGGCAACATCCTGGTAAACCTCTGATGAGCAGAACTCCACACAATACTCCACATGTGGCCTAACGGAAGTTTTACACAGCTGCAATGTTTAAATTGTGGTGAGCTCCAACAACATGTAGCCTTTGTTTCAACTCGTCATTCTTACAAACAAAATAATACGGAGACCAGAGATTTGGGAAGACAAACACAGGTCCCTTACAGTCCAGAGCTAGGGAAAGTCTGAGGGGCCAACCAAAGAAATTGCAGAGAAAACAAACGCAGACTTCAGTCCATCTTCAGAAAAGACGACACAAATAACCTCTCACAAATATTGGGGAACCAAGGGTCCACAGGGAGGTGTAATTGACGAAAATCAGTGATATTAAAAACATGGTGCTCGTGAAATGAATGGGGTTAAAGTCTAACAAATTCACAGGGCTTGAATAATCTACATCCCCACAGTACTAAAGGAAGGGACCTGGAAATATTGGCTTCATTAGTGGTCATCTTCCAAACTTCTATAGATTCTGGTGCAACAGATTGGAGGGTGGTGAATGTAACCCCACTGCTTTAAAAAAAGGAGGGAGAGAAAAAAACACAAGAGAGTTGCAGACTAATTAACCTAACGGGAGTCCATTAGTAATAGAGTCATAAAGTTGCCAGCTTTTAGCCCATATCCCTCTAAACCCTTCCCAATCATGTACACATCCAGATGCCTTTCAAAGTTGTAATTGTGCCAGCCTCCACCGCTTCCTCTGGCAGCTCGTTCCATACACACACCACCCTCTGTGTGAAAAAATTGCCCCTTAGTTCCCTTTTAAATCCTTCCCCTCTCACCTTAAACCTATGCCCTCTAGATCTGGACTCCCCCACCCTGGGGAAAACACCTTGGCTATTCACCCTATCCATGCCCCTCATGATTTTATAAACCTCTATAAGATCGCCACTCAGCCTCCGATGCTCCAGGGAAAATAGCCCCAGCATATTCAGCCTCTCCCTGTAGCTCAAACCCTCCAACCCTGGCAACATCCTTGTAAATCTTTTCTGAACCCTTTCAAGTTTCACAACATCCTTCCTACAGCAGAGCGACCAGAATTGCACACAGTATTCCAAAAGTGGTCTAACCAATGTCCTGTACAGCCACACCATGACCTCTCAACTCCAATACTCAATGTACTGAGCAATAAAGGCAAGCGTACCATACACCTTCTTTATGATCTATTATAAAAGATGTGATTACAGAACACATAGAAATCATTAACAACAGAAGTTGTTGGATGCTGCCAGACCTGCTGAGCTTTTCCAGCAACTTCTGTTTTTGTTTCTGATTTACAGCATCCGCAGTTCTTTCAGTTTTTACTTAGAAATCATTAATGGATTGAGACAAAGTCAGTATGGGTTTATGAAAGGGAAATCTTGCTTAACTAATCTACAGGAGTTTATTTTGAGGATGTAACTAGCAGAATAGATAAAGGAAAGCCAGTGGAGATGGTATATTTCGATTTCTAGAAGGGTTTTGATAAGAGTTGCATGGGATTTGGGGTAATATACTGGCATGGACTGAGAATTTCTTAACACCTTGGAGAGAGAGAATAAATAGGTGCCAGTCGGTGATTGGCATGGCATACCACAGGGATCTGTGTTTCAGCCCTAAGCGATTCACAATAACATTACTGACCTGAGTGAGGGAACCAGATGCATCATTTCTAAATAAACTGGGTGTGATTGTGAGGAGGAGCAGGGAGACTTCAAGGCGATTTAGATAAGTTGAGTGTGTGGGGAACAAACATATAGCAGATGCAGTACAACACAAATAAATATGAAGTTATACAGTTTGGTGTGAAAAACAGGGCAGTGACTGAAAGAAATTCTGGAACTTGCATATTAATCCTTTCTAACTGATTAAAGATTTAACAGCATTCTTAGGTTTGTTTGACACATTTGCATTGGTTCAATGACCCTTTGATCTTTTGCTTCTAAATTCTGTATCTGATGCCACCTCTCTCACTGACACCTGAAGAAGGAGCGAGACTCCGAAAGCTTGCATCTTCAAATAAACCTGTTGGACCGTAACCTGGTGTCGTGTGATTTTTGACCTTGTCCACCCCAGTCCAACACCAGCACCTCCACACACTGTAGGGATTTTTCTGAAGAAGGGTCTAGGCCCGAAACATCAATCTTCCTGCTCTTCTGATGCTGCTTGGCCTGCTGTGTTCATCCAGCTCTACACCTTGTTATCCGGGATTCTATGTATGTTCCTGCTGCTAGTTTCTGTCTCTATATAACCACTGAGTTTAATTGTGAAAGAGTTGTGTCCAAAACCACAATATTTAGACATTTTACCACATTAAATGTGCTATTCACAAACAAGTTATTGCCAATGATCGATAACCTGCTTCACGCTGTCCCCAAGCTCAGTTATTACCGTGGCTGGTGAAGCTTCCACAGTAGAAGTGCTCAGTCACTCTAAACATCACACACATATATATTCCTCATCCTGCCTGTTATCACTCTGTTCTTCATCTGTCAGCTCACTTGCATTAACCACCTGGGCTTCCATAACCCACTTAACAGGCCTGCCCCACCCCAGGTTGGCGAAGCCCCTCGCAGCCGAACAGCTCACCTGACTGATGCGGTTGAAGCCATACTGCTCGAACCTCTCATCGTAGGGGGGCACGGTGGTGCGGGAGATGTAGAAGGGCTCCCAGGGGTCAGTCCACTGGCGGGTGTATGCCACCCGCAGGCCAGGCCCGCTGGCACTGGGCAGGTTGATCCAGCAGCTGTAGTTGGTGGGAGACTGGCAGCGGGGGCACAGCTCGGCATAGAAAGGCCGCACCTCGGCCACCTGGTACAGCTGCTGGAGCTCGGCCTTGTCCTCAGGCAGGCGGCGGGTGTGACGCATCTCCAGGGCGGGCACGACAAAGACGGTGCGGTCGGTGGGGGTGGGGGCGCTGGCACCCTGCCCGGGGCCAGGGCCGGGTGGCGGCTGGGGCAGGGTGGCTAGCAGCTCCAGGAAGAGGGGGTGCAGCCCGCCGCTGGGCAGCATGTCCACGTCGATGAGCAGGACGTAGCGGGAGGGTAGAGCGTCCCGGGCTGCGTTGCGGAGCAGATTGTTCGGGTAGGGCCCGGCGGTGAGCGCATAGTTGGTGCGGCCCAGGCCAAAGCGACGCAGGCGAGTGAGGGCCCGATGGCAGGCTGGGTGGGGGTCCGGGGGTTCTCCAGCCCCGAGCACCAGGGGCTCTTCTGCCCCGGGGTCCAGGGCATCCCCTTCCTCCGGGAGACCCCTCTCCCCGCTGGGAGTCACCAAGGTGAAGGTGACCCGACCTCGCAGGCATGGGCAGTGCCCCTCCAGGTTGTGAATGAGCTGGAGGCTGGCTCTCAGTTCCCCGGGGCCAGCGAACACAGCTACTGCCAGTGGTCCCTGCCAGCGGCGTGCCAAGGCCGGCAGATGGTACAGGTTGTGCAATGAGCTGTGGGTAGCCAGGCTCAGCTCCAAGCCCCCGGGTTTACGGCCCACCGGGCTCCGGCTCACGTCCCGGTACAGGCGGTAGCGCCCGCTGGGATCCAGCCTCCCCGCGCCCAGGGTCGGGGGGCTGCGGGAATCGGACTCTCCTCCCTGGGCCCCAGCACCGGGAGCAGCCCCGGGCCGGGCTCCGGCCTGGAAGAGCCGGGAGTAGCGGAGCCGCTGCTGGCGGCCGTGCAGCCCTGACAGGAGGCCGAGGTAAAGCAGCTGCAAGGCGGCTACCAGCAGCAAAGCGGCGAGCAGCGCCCGGAACCCGGAGCAAGGGGCCCGCAGCAACAGCAACCGCGCCATGTCGTGCCCGCTCCCCCACACTCACACTCTCTCTCTCTCTATCCCCCACACTCACTCTCTCTCTCTCTATCCCTTACACTCACACACTGTCTCTATCCCTTACACTCACACTCTCTCTCTATCCCCCACACTCACACACTCTCTCTATCCCTTACACTCACACACTCTCTCTATCCCCCACACTCACACTCTCTCTCTCTATCCCTTACACTCACACACTCTCTCTATCCCCCACACTCACTCTCTCTCTATCCCTTACACTCACACACCCTCTCTATCCCCTACACTCACATTCTCTCTATCCCCTACACCCACACTCTCTCTATCCCCCACACTCTCTCTGTGCCCCATACACTTTCACACTCTCTCTGTGCCCACACACTCCCACACTCTCTCTATCCCCCACACTCCCACACTCTCTCTATCCCCCACACCCACACACTCTCTCTCCCTTACACACTTACACTCTCCCTCTTTCCTCAACACCCACACATTCTCCCTCTATCCTAGACATCCACACACTCTCTCCCCTACACACTCACACACTCTCTATCCCCTACACACTCTCTCTCTCTCTCCCCTACATGCATACACCCACACTGTCTCTCTCCACTACACGCATGCTCACATTCACACTCTTCCCCTGCACACTCACTCTCTCATTCACACTCTTCCCTCTTTATCTCACACTCACTCACTCTCTCACATTCACTCTCTGCAGCCTGTCTGTGTCTCTCTCACAAACTCTGTCTCTGTCTCACCTCCCTCCCTATCCACCCGATCCCCCTCTGCCTCTGATCCCTCTCCACCTCTAATCCCTCTCCCCCTCCTCTAAGCCCTCTCTTCTCTCCTGCCCCACCCCCACCAATCCCTCTCTCGCCCCCACCCCCACCAATCCCTCTCTTGCCCCCACCCCCACCGATCCCTCTCTCCCCCT